GGGGGTGTGTGGGAGGTTGTTGCTTCCTGACATCTCTGGAGTTTGAAGCACCTCCCTTTATTTATTCACATGTGAATTCTAGACTCCTAACTTGGGCTCCAAGTAAATGTTCCTGTGGAGGCCATTAGCTACCATCACATTGCTGTCATGACACCAGTAAGTGCCAGGACCAATTGAGCAGTTTGGCGAGAAGGACAGCTTTGTCTCGTTTTGATGTTGTGATGGTGGAAAGCTTTTCAGTAACCCTTGGTGGGTGATGTCCTGTCTGGGGATCTCACATAAATAATGTGATGTAAGGTATACTATCCCAGTTTATTTTTATTTTACACTAACAGAGTCTGTAGAAAAGCATTGACCCCCCAAGCAATCCCACTAACAACCTCCTAAGTACCTTTTGCTTTGAAGTCAGCTAACAGCAGTTACTTAATGTTCTTGGTTTATAGTATAATGTTGCATGAAAGTCCGCATACTACAGAGAAAATAGGGCTTTGCTGTCCTATCTTGGTCATGAGTTTTACAATTAGTCATTTATTTATTTTCATTTTATATGTGTATGAGTGTTTTGCCTGCATGTAAGCACACCACATGCATGCAATGCCATGGAGGCCAGAAGAGAGCATCAGATCTCCTTGAACTGGAGTTATGGACAGTTGTTAGCTGCCGTGTGGGTGTTGGAACCAAACCAAGGTCCTCTGCAAGAGCAGCAGCAAGTACTCTAAACTGCTCGAGCCATCTCTGTGACCCTATCATGAGTTTTTTATATTGGCAACTGAAATATAAGAATCTTTCTAAAATATTACTTTGTTGGGCCTTTGGCTCCCTTTTGCCACAGAATACACCAATATTTCTGTTCAAATATTGGTGCCTCCTTTCACATTTCTACATCATCTTTGTTTCCTTTTGGTTGGTCTTGACCACATGGACTGACACCTAGCCTCAGCCCCTCAGCCAACCACATGGACTGACGCCTAACCTCAGCCCCTCAACCGACCACATGGACTGAGGCCTAGCCTCAGCCCCTCAGCCGACCACATGGACTGACGCGTAGCCTCAGCCCCTCAGCTGACCACATGGACTGACGCCTAGCCTCAGCCCCTCAGCCGACCACATGGACTGACGCCTAGCCTCAGCCCCTCCTACCTCTTCCCATATGTGTTTTGCATCATCCTTGGAAGCTCAGCCTAAGGTTCAGAATCTCACAAAGTCTTTTCTGGCTGTTCTTTGTCCTTTTCCAATGTATTACAGCCCTTGAAGTGTCTGTCACATATTTGTGCTCTAAATAACATTCCTTATTTTAAAAATGTTATTTATTTTTACTGGATGAGGACAGAAGCCACTTTGATTCTTCCTTTGAAAAATTACTTTTGAAAAAGAATGGCTGGGAGTGGTGGTGCACGCCTTGAATCCCAGCACTCGGGAGGTGGAGGCAGGTGGATCTCTATGAGACTGAAGCCAGCCTGATCTACATAGTGAGTTCCAGATGGGCTGGGGCTATAGGGAGACCCTGTCAGAAAAAAAACAAAACAAAAGGAGAATGATCCCAGCCTACCATCAGCCTGTTGATCACTTGTGGGCTTAAGCTAGGACTGTAACTCTGATTGTGTGTATCTCCAAAGGGATCTAAAGAGAGGGATGTGACCAACAGGCTGTTCATGAAATCTCAGCATGACATCTGTTAATAACAAGAGGGTAACTGTAACTGTGTGGGATTATCGCCAATTAACTAAAAACCTAATTACTTATTATTTTACAGACTTGAGAAATTATATAGCACTTAATATATACAAAGAAGTGTACCAGGTATTGTATAGTGTTTAAAATAGAACTCCTAAAAAAGGCCTCAACATCTGTTCTCAGAAACTCATTGTAGACTCTTGTAATGTTGGATGGTACTTAGAAAGGCTGATGCTTTAGCTAAGTTCCTTTGGTGAAACAGTCAATAAGATGGGTAAATTGGTGGGTAGCTGGATGGATATGCAGATGGATATGTGGGTGGATGGGTAGATGATATGTGGATGTGTGAATGGATAGGTAGGTGGGTATGTGGGTAGATGAGTAGATAAATGGATGGGTGGATGGATGGATGGGCAAATGGATGAGGAATGGGTAGATGTGTGGATGGGTAGATGAATGTGTGGTTGTATGGATGGATAGATGGGTAGATGGATTGGTAGGCAGGTGAAAGGAGAGATGTTATGGAAATTGATCCCTATGATATGGAGACTGAAGAGTTCTACTATGTGTAACTTGAAAGCTGATGGCCTAAGGACACCAGTGGGGTAGCTCAGTCTAAGGCACAACGCCTGAGAACCTGGGGACTGTTGGCTGGTAAAGTCTGTTAGACTGAGAACCACAGACCTGAACTTGTAATGCCAAGGAGAATATTGGTGTCAGCCCAGAAGGCAGCCAGAATTCACTGTTCTCTGTGTTTTGGTTCTGTTAGGGCCCTCCACTGACTGAATGTGCAGGCCTACATTACTTGAGGGCAGATCTTCCTTACCCTGCTGGCTGATTCAGATGCTATTCTCTCAGAGAAATACATTACAGGCACACCCAGGACACTTTACTGTGTCTGATACCCTCCACTCTATAAAGTTAACACCTCAAATCACCCATCACAGTTAACGGATCCCTTTCTTCCACCTCCTTCCCCTTGCCCTTTGTCTGACCCATACACTTGCTTTCCTTCAGGGAGAAAGAGGCCTTCCAGGGTTACAAGGTGTCATTGGGTTTCCTGGGATGCAAGGACCCGAGGGGCCACACGGACCTCCAGGACAAAAGGTGAGCGTGACTGTGAGTGGGCAAGGGGCACATTGCACATGGCTTCATTCTTGTGACAATGAACTGAGCCACCCTCATGTCCTCTCTCTTCTGTTCTAGGGTGACACTGGAGAACCTGGACTTCCTGGCACAAAAGGGACAAGAGTGAGTCCAGTGTTGGATGACTGTGTCTGAGGACTGAGGGTGTTGAGAAAGCAGTGCACCCTCCATCCCCAGGGGCTGCTCTTCCCTCCGCTGTGCCCTTCCTCCCGCCTCTCCTCAGGCTCACCGACTGGACCACAGCCCCTCTTATCTGCATATGTGCCGAACACCTTGCTTGTATAAACTTGCTTGCTCCACTCATTCTTCAACGGTCCCTTGTAGACATTTTAATTTGGGAGAGGGGGCAGTTAATGACCTGCCCAACGCCTTAGAGACAGAAGATTTCGCTGAATGTGAACGGCATGTTTGGGGCTGGGCTTACTCTTCACCATTCATTTTCTTTACTTTCTGTGCCGCACTCATTTCTGGAAAGCACAAAGATGGCGCTCTTTCTAGAGTGTGAAGACAAAGCTGGGAAGGCGTTGTGGAATGGTTGTGGCTCCATGGTGTAGAAAGGAAGCGGGGCATTGGTGACATTGGGCACCTGGTAGCATTTCATGGGCGTATGGGGCAGAGAGAGAGAGAGGACACAGCATTGTCCCTCTCTGAGTAAAGTCCACACTGGACTGATATGGGCTCTCCCCATAAATAAGTTTGAGTTGATTCTCCCAATGAATTTATTTAGCACACAAACTTAAAAAAAGTTTATGATTCCAATGTGAGTTAAATATTGTTTTAACCAAGATATCACAAAGATTAAATGAGGGGAAAATTATTTTGTGCACACACTGCTTTAATTTTAGTGGGAATACAGTGAGCTTTGGGTGTGCAATTGTGCAGGCCTGTAGGGTAGCCTGTCCCTTGCACTGGGCCTCGGTGCCTCCTCCACAGTGTTCTCTCCGCTTTGTGTTCATGTTCTGTGTTTCCTTAACCAGGAGGACGTGGAGAGAGAAGTGAGGTTTCCCTGTGCTCAGCTGAAAGGCTTTTGTTTCTATCCTTACAGGGACCCCCTGGAGCATCTGGCTACCCTGGAAACCCAGGACTGCCTGTACGTATACAACATGCATGCGTTTATTTCCTGAACTATGTTACCACTTGGTGAGTTCCTATTTTGGTGACTTCTTCACTTGATTGATTGCAGGGTATTCCTGGCCAAGATGGTCCACCAGGTCCCCCAGGTATCCCAGGATGCAATGGTACAAAGGTAAGTTTAGCACTGAGACCCTCCAGTTTCCCTGTATTTCACCTACAGGAGAGATGACCTTTCCTTTCAACTTGTAGGCTTTTATCCTAAAATTACTTTTGGGCACTAAAAGTATTTATCAATTACTAAATCAATTACTAAATTGAATCAATTACTAAACTGAATCAGAAAATGGTATCATGAGTTCTTATCTAGCAAGTGTGGCTTTCCCTTCATTAAGTGGCATCTAGAGTCTACTTATCACAGACCAGGAAATGACTTTCAGCCTCCAGTGCGGCTGTTCTGAAGGGTGGGATAGCAGTCTGTTGTGAAGTGTTGGGGATTCATTCCGGTGTGTGACACCTTTCATTTCTCTCAGGGAGAGAGAGGGCCACTCGGGCCTCCCGGCTTGCCTGGATTCAGTGGAAACCCCGTGAGTACACAGCTGTTGAAATCAGACATGCTTTCTCTGATTATATTTCTCTCTTATTTATTTATTTTTTTTGTGCTTATGTCTTAATACTGATAGTATTTTTGGAGAAACAAAACTAATAAACTTCTTTTCTAGGGACCACCAGGGTTACCAGGAATGAAGGTACATTTCATATTTTATTTCATTTTGTTTTGTTTCATTTCACTGGGTTCCTCATAGGGAGTGCGTTGATAACAGATGCTGTAAAAACAAATGTACTTAAAAATCACGTCAGCCAATCATTGCCTAGTAGCACATTCCCCTAACCTCTGTTACATTAAAAGCATGTATAAATAACACACAGAGACTTAGGACTCAGAGCCTCCTGTTTGGACTCCTGTGAGTAGTGAGGAGCAGTTGTGACATAATTGTTCCAGAAGGAATCTGGACTGAACCATTCACCATGCTCCCATAAGCTCACAGACCCTCCTTTTCTAGTACACGACTGGGAGAAGCTTAAATTTACACCTTATTTAACCTGAACAGCTTCATTTGGTTTCCACAATAGAAAAATGGCAGTTTCTTTTCCTGCCTCTGTTTTTCACCCATCTGCTCCCCTCTCCTTACTCTCCTCTGCTCCTCCTTCCAACCCCCACCACTCTCTTTTCTTGTAAGATACTGTCCTTTACATAACTGGGATCTTCAGACCCTCCCTCCCAGCTCAGAGTCCAGCCAGCTCTTTGAGGAACACAGACTTGTGTTTGCTACATGAGCACACCCAGGACTGGACCCCTCGCGTCCAGTGGCACCTGTACTCTTACCATTCCTTGGGATTGGGGATAGGACAGCAGAGCTCACGAGGAGCCTCTTTTACCTTAAACTTCACAGAAATTAGCTGTGGGCATCTTTCCACAAAGATGCTGTTAAGTCTTGAAGAGGTCCTCAAAAAAGGTCCTGAGACTTGGGGCTGGGGAGATGGCTCAGTGGGTAAAGTGTTTGCCTTGTAAGCATAGGGACCTGCGTTTGATCTCCAGAACCCATGTAAAAAAGTCAAGCATGGTGCTGCACATCTGTAATCTCAGCACTAGGGAGGTAAAGGCAGTTGGATCCCTCGGACTCACTGGCCAGCCAATCTGGCCTACTTAGTGGGCTCTAGGCCAGTAAAAGATTGTCTGAAACAGACAAACAAACAAACATCAAGATGGACAGTGCCTGAGGAACAGTCCTTGAGGTTTTTCTTTGGCCTCCACATATACATGCACATGTGCCTTCACACACATGTCAACTACACACACACACACACACACACACACACACACACACACTAAAAACAAAAAGATGCCAGTTGTGGTGGTGCACACATTTTAATCCCAGCACTTGGGAGGCAGAGGCAGGTGGACTTCTGTGAGAACAAGGCCAGCCTGGTCTACATAGCAAGTTCCAGGACAGCTGGGGTTACAAGGAGTCTCTGTCTCAACATCCCTTCCCACAAACAAACAAACAAACAAACAAAAACAAAGAGAAAAAGCAAAATCTGGAGTCCTTATTTTGTGATAACAGCCTTATTTTGTGAGGTCACACGCTCATGGTCAGGGACCTTTTCTTTTAGATGGTCTTATTTCCAGCTTAGTCCAAATCTCAGCCTGAGGACAGTCCCACTCCAGAATTGAGTTGATTCTGAGTTTCTGGACAAGACTCAGTATTTATACCTTTCTCTTATGTTTTCATCCTCTAGGGAGATCCTGGTGAGATTCTCGGCCACATTCCTGGAGCACCGTTGAAAGGCGAGAGAGGATTTCCTGGTGCCCCAGGGACGCCGGTAAGCCTTTGCTGGTCATCACTGCTCATGCTGAATCACTCCTTGGCTTGATGGTAACATTGTAATCCTTTGGGTCAACCACAGGGCTCACCAGGATTGCCAGGACTCCAGGGACCTGTCGGCCCTCCAGGATTTACTGGACCACCAGTAAGTTTGGGGGAATCTCTTCTCTAAGACAGTCACTTGAAGAACAGATGTGGAGAGGTGTGGACTGAACTGGAACTCAAGGAGGATTCTGCACCATGGCTTCCTTCTTGCTTTAGCTGCGAGAGAATCAGCTTCTTAAGAAGTGTGTGGTTGGCACCCCAAGCTCACAACTCCCAGAACTGTGGGAGAAGGGTGCTTGTAGTCTTGCTCCTCAAGACATCGTAGGACAGATCACTTGTCTGTATATCAGAGCTGCTGGGAACCTATGGGTCCAGGAACTGAAGAAGCCAGGCTGAAGGTTACCAGGGTAGGCTGTCTCCTGGTGCCACTCCTTTATGCAGGGGGAATGGGCTGCAGAGGCAGAATCACTCCAGAATGCATCGGTGAGTTAGGAGCAGGGTGTAGAATGGGGAGGATGCTGAAATATACTTGACAGCTGAACACTGGGCGTGACAAAGGGGAGGCTGCTTCATCCTCCTGTACAGCTGACCTTAGCAGAAGGAGAGAGACCTCTCATCCTCCCATTTTTGTAGCACAGGATGAAGGTTCAAAGACTTGTCAGGTGGGCAAGGGATGAGATGGAAGGGGCATCCGAGTTTGTGGTTCACACACAGCCTGACTGTGCATCCTCCAGAGAGAACCTCAGGCTTCTAGCTCAAATTCACATTTTTCTTTTTTTATGTCTTTTTCTCTCCATGTGTATAAGTGATGCTTTGTTGTCACTCTTATAACTTGATGGACTTGTTTTTATAGTACAGAACCTCTAGCTTTTCCCTTTAAAAAGTGATTGTGGCAAGCATTCTGACAAATTTTTTTGATTGATTGATTGTGTATGTGTGTGCGTGTGTGTGTGTGTGTGTGTGTGTGTGTGTGTGTCTGTGTTTCATGTGTGCCGCATGTGTGCAAGTGTCTGAGGAGACCGGAAGAGGCATTTGTTATGAGTGGTCATATGGGTGATGGGATCAAACCTGCATCCTCTGCAATGCTCTCAACAGCTGAGCTACTCTAGCCTCACTTTCTGAAATTTTGTTGCAGATGTGGGACATTCTATTTTATTTCATTACAATCTGCTCCCTGGAAGAATCTGTTTTTCAAGATGAACATTTGTCTCTAAGTGGTAACAGGTCATACCCAGGCTTCCCATGCAGCAACTCCATGTGGAGTGAGTGCTGGCTGGAGCCTTCATGCCTTGGCTCAAGGTTCATTGTTGCACTCTGGGCCCTTGGCATGCAAGGGGAAATGCCTTGGCCTTTGAGGGATTTCCACCCCTGTTAATAATTGTCCTGACCCACAGCCAGCTATTTTCAAAGCATTATATTCTGTGTCATAGGAAAGAAAATTTTCTTTTGAGACGGTCTCCCCTGTGGCCCCTGCTGGCTTAGAACTCACTATGTAGACCAGGCTGGCCCCAATCTCATAAAGATTCTTCTGCTTCGGCTTCCTGAGCGCTGGCGTGAAAGGTGTATACCACCTTGCCTGGGACAGAAAAGAACTTAATAAATTATCCTGCTAATCACACAATCTTAGGGTGACTTCAATACAGAGAAGGTTTGTGTGACTTAATATTTTCCTTTGCTAGGACAAAATGTTAGAGGAAAACAGCTTATGGGGAAGAAAGACACATTTTTCTTCATGGTTCCAGAGGTCTCAGTCCTTGATCCCTAGGCTACATTGTTTCTGAACTTGTAAGAAGGCAGAGTATCATGGCAGGGAACAGAGAAAGAGACAGTGTGTGGGAACAAGATGCCCCCTTCAAAGGCACAACCCTAGGGACTCACATCCTCCAACTAAGCCCCACCTCCTAAAAGCCCCTTCCACTGTGAACTCAGTGGATTAATCCACAGATGAACTTAGTACCCTCATGATCCAGGTTCCTTGGAGCCTTCTGGGGCTGGGGGAGACTTCATCTTTCTGACTGTAGCAGGTTATGAATCTTTAATGAAATCCTCTTTCTTACAGGGTCCTCCAGGCCCTCCTGGCCCTCCTGGAGAAAAGGTAAAGATGATTTTTCATTTAATACTTTGGGCCTTAATATAAGACTATTGTGAGAGTGTCACGATATCTGTAAGTTACTGTAAAGAGCCTTGAAAAATTGCCCCATCTTTACCTACCTGTTTAACCATCTGCTGAATACTGTGTATCAGCGTATCATCATCTATCCATCGCTCTTCATTGATTGTCATCTGTCAGTCATTTTCTATTATCTATCACCGTTCATCATCACCATCATCAATCATCTGTCAGTCCCTTAGTTTTCCTTCTGATCACCCCTTAGTCATTACTTTGGAATAATTGATCATTCTCTTACTTTTCTGAACCCAGACTTTAAAATCCTTACATTTCAAAAGTTTTTAAAATGGATTCCTTATTGGTAATATTTGTAAAAGGTTTTCCCAAACATCGAACACAACATGATCTTCCTTGAAAAGTTTATGATGGTGGTGGTACAAAACTGCTGAGACCCAGCTCCTATTCTCTCTATGTGGGGCTTTTAGGGTCTCTGACTAAGGTGAAGATAGCCTTAATAATAAAGTATAATTTCCAATCCACAGGGGCAGATGGGCTCTAGCTTCCAAGGACCAAAAGGTGACAAAGTAGGTACCTGTGCTTTGGTGTGCTTCCATGTTTAAAGCCAGAGCTCTCACTCTGCCACCATTCCCATCTCTACATCAGCCTTTACATCCTTGTAAACATGGTTCCTCTGTGTGCTCTTGAGTTTGATGGAACTTAGCTGAACTGCTAGAATTACCAACCTCATTCTAGCTTACAAAAATGGTATATTTTTCCTGACCATGGCTAGTTGTTTTCAAAGTTTTATACTTCTATATTATAGGGAAGAAACTTAATAAGTAAATTATCTTGTTAACCACAGAGTCTTAGATTGCTTGTGGTGCTCAGCACTGTGAGGCTGATGATTCCCCTGGTCTGTGCACAGGGCTCAGTCAATGCATTCATCAGCAGTAAATCCAGAGCTTGAATTCATTTTAAGAGAATGAAATTTACAATTTCACCATTAGTACCATAACTGTTTTAAGACCTGATATGACATTGGCCATCACCATGACAATATGACATAGATTGCAGTCGCTCCCGCTGTGGGCTTAAAATGGGAAGTGGGACAAACAATGGACCTCTGGATCCCTGCTGTCCTCTCTAGTAGTGTCCCTGGGTCAGACCGATGAGATGGGCACTAGCTGAGGAGCCTTGTTAGAATTGCTGCCTCCACAGGGGATGTGTAAGCTGGTATGGTCAGCTGCCACCAGGGGGCGGCAGACATGGTGGGCCTGGACGCAGCCTGGGCTGTTTCACACCTTCATTTTATTTGTTTGTTTGTTTATTGTTTATTTATTTATGGCCCAGGTGTTTAATAAACCTAACAGCAAGGTAACCCTGAAACTTACACTATTGAAATCTTTGGCCCTCATTCACATCTATGGCTGACTTTTAATTCCAAATGTACCCAGCTCTTTCGGCTACCCGAGCAGAAAAATTCTGAGGGTTCTCTTGTTTTCAGTTTATCTAAAATTACCTCCCTCCCTACCAAGCTCCTAGTCAGCTGGCACGCATGCTTTCTGTGCCTGCCAAAGGCAATGGTGCAGCCCTGTGCAGGTGCATGTGGGGGTGTATCTTGCAGGAGTGCAGACTCCTGAGCCCCTCTCCAGTCTGATACTTCTGCTGGCCCCTCTTCCTACTGAAGCCGGGGCTTCTGCTGAGCAGGGATGAGCAGAACAGAGTGCAAGGGCAGCTTAAAATTAGGTGTTTACCTTCAGGCTTTTACTCCCCTCCCCTCATGTTTTTCTTCTTGTTTGCCATTTCATGCCTAAGTAACCTTGAGTTTTACATGAACAGGGCGATCAAGGGGTCAGTGGCCCCCCAGGAGTACCTGGACAGGCACAAGCTAAAGAAAAAGGAGACTTTGCTCCAACAGGAGAAAAGGTAGGCCTGGGTTGTGCTCAGTGGATGGTAGCTTTCTAATTTTGGACAAACTCTGAGGGACAAAGAGAAGCCAGGATGAAATCCAGATTCTCTAGCCCCAATCAATCTTGTCCTGGAAAGCAGGTTCCTAGACATTGTGTCCCATGCAATGGAGCCGCTTTGAGAGCAGATGTGGCTGACCTGGGTCAGCCAGGCACTACTCTGCACTCATTAACAAAGGGCATCTTAAGTACGCCCTGCACTGGGGACAGGCCATGTGGATAGGACTGGTCCAGCTGAGGGGGCAGAATTCAACCATGGCCTGTCCTGTCACCAGGCCCTTCTTACACCCTAGTTCAAGAAGGGAATATTGGAGGCCAGCATGAATTCTTCTGTAAATGTGGCAGGAAAAGACTTTTTATTTTTGTGTGTTCATTATAGCAAATGCAAAACAGCCTGGAGTGGTGGTGCAGGTCTCCCTGAAATCCTAGCATTCAAAATGCTGAGGCAGGAGGTTTGTCACAAGTTCTGGGCTATATAGTAGGTACCAGTCTAACCAGAGCTACAAAAGACCCTGTCTCCAAAAAAAGGGGGAAAAAGGGCATCTAAAATCTAATATAGTCATTAGATGGTACTGATCCCCCCTCTTCTTTATTCTTTAAGGGTCAGAAAGGTGAACCTGGATTCCAGGTAAGCACTCAGTCCATCTTTACCATTAATGTTTTTATGTGAAAAACCGTAAAGTATTGGATGTAGAATACAACTTGTTTACCCCCAAACTTAGGATGTATCTGAACCCATATTTTGCTTGCGTATATTAGTGGGTCTAACTCCTTCTCCTCTGTTTCTTAAGGGACCACCAGGGGCTGGAGAGAAAGGCGAACCTGGAAAACCAGGGCCTCGGGTAAGCGCTTTCTGGATCCTTCTATGCCTCACTGTAAACCCATTCCCCTCCCACTCCAAGAATCACAGAAATGAAAGAGAGGATGGACACGTCTGCAGGGTTTTCTAGTTTCTCCCTATCCTGGGGAGGCTTGGCCCATTCTTGCTTGAGGATCCCATTGAGTGTGAACAACCTGCTGGGGAAGGAGGTTCAGGAAGAGCCACCCAGTGTGGCCACATCTGTCCTATGGCAGGTGCTTAGGTCTTTTTGTCACTTGTCCTGATGCCAGACCTGAGACTGCCCCCTCTACCATGCCACACTTGTGTGTGACTAGGCTCCTGACAGATCTGAGGGGACCCCCCCCACACACACATACCATGCCAGGGTTGTGGGTGGCTGGGCACCTGACAGGCTCACTTCTGGGCAGCAGTGATGAAACACCTGTGGTTGCCAGTTGCCTGGGACATTTGGTGCTTCCCTGAAGTCAGGTGTAGAAGGAAGGGAGTGCCTGTGTGCATGTCAGCTTCCACGTTCATTGCCAGTGATGATGACTCCTTGCTGTCTAAGACATTGACTAGCTCGTAGTCATACTCACACTGCACTTCATAAACTGAGTGGTCTTCCTCCCCAGTGATCCATTATCCATCGATTTATTTGTCCCTGTGGAACTGTCAGCTGGTGGGGACCTCTTCTGCAGGCTTGTGCCCTTGCAAGGGAGAGAGATGATATGTTGACTTGTATTTGAACAGAGCTTCAGTGTGGCCATATTGTGACACACTCATGGTTCCCTCTTTATTATACAGGGAAAACCTGGAAAAGATGGAGAAAAAGGAGAAAGGGGAAGTCCGGTAAGTCTCCTCTTCCACAGTGTCCAAAAGCAAAGTGCTGCGGTTCCCCTCCCTGACGACTATGTGCCCTCTCTTTTTTAGGGTTTCCCTGGCGATTCGGGGTACCCAGGACTCCCAGGCCGGCAGGGCCCTCAGGTGCGCAGTAACACTGTTTTGAATTTTCACCTTCAATGTATCATTCAGCTGAGAAGTTCGTTCACTAATTCCCAGAGTAAAGAACTCTGCACCCAAGCGGGAAATATTTCTGCTTTGTATGGATGAAACACAATTTAGTGATTTTCATGGAGTTTATGTATTTTTAGAGAGAGAGAGAGAGAGAGAGAGAGAGAGAGAGAGAGAGAGAGTGAGAGAGAGAGAGAGAGAGAGAGAGAGAGAGAGAGAATAAATCAGAGGACAACCTTCGAGAGTCAGTTCTCTCCTTTCTCCATGTGGGACTCAGGGATTGAACTCAGGTCGTCAGGCTTGGTAGCAAGGCCTCCACCTGCTGAACCATCTTACTTGCCCGCATCTTGCTTTTTCAGTTAATAATATAAGAAGGCTCTTTGTTAACATCCATAAATTATTTATAGATAAGCATTTTTAGCATCTCTGCCTTCTGTTGATTCGCATCTAGATTGTTTTAAATTTGTATAATCACAAGCAGTTTGGATCATTTGTCTGTTCATAAATTCTACTATGATTTATAAAAGTTTAATTTTGGGGTCCACATTTAGACTATGAAGCCTTTCCATAATACCATCATGTTGTCTCCTGAAAAGTTTGTCTGCCAGCCAGGGCCCTTTTACTTGTCAGTTGATGGTTTTTCAATTACTTTAAACAATGTTTGCCAGTCAGTTCAACACACAAAAACGCAACGTTGAGTGGCTTGGAACTTGCTATGTAGACCATGCTGACCTTGAACGCATAGAGATCCACTTGTCTTTGCCTCCTTAGTGCTAAGACTAAAGGTTTATGCCATCAGGCCTGGCTTTAGTTTTCTTTTTTAAACATGAAAGAACTTAAAAATACTCATTACCAATTAATGAAGGACTAGGAAGAGACTCTCAACATTTATTATTGAGGTCAAGGACAAATAACCCTGCAGATTTATATATATATATAGAAAAGAAAGCAAGAGAGGTATATATGGAGAGAGAGAGAGAGCAAGAGAGAGCGAGAGAGAGAGGGAGAGAACTGAGGAACTGAGGCTCAAACCCAGGGCCTCATGCATGTTAAGTATATACTGCACCACTGAGGTACACCCCCAGCCCAGTAGGTGCTTTTCAATTAACAACATCTCTTCTTGCATACATGTCAGAAAACTCAGCCCATTCAATTCTAGTTTAAAGTTTAATTTTGATATCTTAGTGTAATAGAACAAACATACATTCATGGTACATAGCTCAGGATTTTTTGGATTGTTATTATGGTATTTATATGGGAACTTTAGCTGTAAAAGGTTATTTCTTGGGTCGGGCTTGGTGGCACGCCTTTAATCCCAGCACTTGGGAGGCAGACGCAGGCGGGTCTCTGTGAGTTCAAGGCCAGCCTGGTCCACATAGTGAGTTCCAGGACAGCTGGGACTACAGGGAGACCCTGTCTCAAAAAGACCAAAAAAAAAAGGATTATTTTTTGGGTGTTTTCGTCTAATGTAGATTAAGCGAGGCCTCAAAGTGTTGAGAATTTAACAATGTTTTCAGTTAACACTGTTTTATAGTGTGACTTTAAATGTAAATCTAAACATAAAAACCCCATAAGAGATGATTTAAGGAACTATAGTTAGAAACCATGCTTTCATAGCATTTTATTGAAGGACCAGTGTGCAGCATTCAACTTCTAGAAGGTCCTTTTAAGGTTCTCTGATGGGGCTGCCAGTCAGGAAGGTGAATACTGTGGCTGTTTAGTTATGTGAGTAGATAGCCTTCCACTTGGTCTTCTACCAGCTTTGTGTGAAGCAGATATGCTTATGTTTGTTGTGATGGGCAGAGTGTCTGCCAGCCCTAGAAATAAAGGCTAAGAGAGGACAGGGATTTGGGGCATGTAGTAATGTTATTTGTTCTTTGTAGGGAGAGAAAGGTGAAGCTGGACTTCCGGGCCCCCCTGGAAATGTGAGTAAAAGTGTGGTGTGTTGGTCTCTGTGTGTGATTGAAACAGGCCCCAGGGTCACATAGGACACACCCTCCATGGTCCCAAGCTTGATGCTCTTATGTGAAGTGGGTGCCTGCCGTATGAAATAACTTAGCACTAGGATTTTTTAAAATCATATTTTGATAATTTCTACATATCCTTAAAGCTTGAGAAATGAAAAGCTTTGTATATAGATAACTTAGCAGACTTTTAAACTTTTTTTTAGTTGTCTATTAAGAAAAAATTTAGTAAGAGAAGCAGGTCAGCTATCTTTTGATTGTGCCCTAGCAAAACAACTTTTATTTCACAAGAAACTTTTACTCTTTGTACGTGGGCATTTGGACTGCAACCATTTCAGCCATTTTGTTTCAAATCAATTTGAAAAGAATAGACACCCTTTGTCCTGTTTGCTGTGGTTCTTGCTATACTGTGGGTGTGGATAACGTGGGGTTTTGTTTGTGTTTCCTGCTGTATACCTGAGGGCTTGGGGTCAGAGTAATCTTTCCTGAGGCCATGTTTCCAGAAATAGGATTCCTGCACCAAAGCACTGAACCCTTTGAACACCTCAATGTTCCCAACCTGTCCATGATTCCATACTCATTTTCTGTGACTCACACCAGGCATGGCAGATCCTCTGTTCACCTCAGGCCCACCAGCATGTCTTTTTCTTTAAAGTTTTTAATTAATTAATTAATTAATTTATTTATTTATTTATTGAGACAGGGTCTCCCTGTGGCTCCAACTGGCCTGGAACTTACTATGTAGACCAGGTTGGTCTCAGTCTTACAGAGATCTGCCTGCCTCTACCTCCTGAGTTCTGGGATTAAAGGCATATACCACGCCTTTTACTTTATCCATTTTTAATTGACAAGTAAAATTTACATATACTCATGTACAGTATTCTTTGATATGTGTGCACGTGATGGAATGGCCAAATAAAGCTATTTAATAACACTTTAAAAGTGTTCCTTTATGTAATCGATAGAGAATTGTATTTTTATAATGATATGGCATGCTTGACTTTGCTGGTTTGCTTACATTTTGGAGATTCAGAATTAAGGTGAGCAAGTGTTCTCCTTTTCAGGGAGGTTTTGTACCTTCTGAACTGTATCCCTGAGAGTTTAAGGATGTGCCCCTTTGATCCTTAAAGAAAGAAAAAGGATCTTGTTACAGTGGAGGAAATTGAAGGGGGTCCCTCCAGTGATGTTCTGTGAGGCAAGCCAGTCATCCATTTCATAGCTGTGAATTCCAAACCCAGGCCTCCGGTTGAGACCAAGACCATCACTGTTGCCAGGGAAGCTGTACAAAGGAGGTAGAACTGCCAGACAAGCTCAACGCAGAGACCATTATGTGATAGTCAACCCAAAGGCTCTCTAGATGCCTCCCTTCCTCTCTGTCCACACCACTTCTTTGTATCCATATTTCATGAGGCAATACACTCCCATGCCACCAGTGACCTGTCCTCCTTTAATGCAGGGGTTTGGCCCTGGGCTTCTGGGAGAAAAAGGAGATCGAGGTTACCCTGGATCACCTGGGTTAAGAGGAGAGCCAGGCCCTAAAGGTAGGTGAGGGGCGAGGTGGGGGGTTGTCTTTTGGCTTCCCTTCCTTCTTCCTCCTTAGAACTCTTCTTTTCCCTCCTCCTCCTTTTCTTCTTCCCTTTTTCCTTCTTCCCTTTCCCTTTCCCCCTAGTTTTTGGGAAGCTTCTGCGTGCCTTGCAGGACTGTTGAGCAACCTGTCCTCTCCAGGTCCCTGTCTCACTGTCACGTAGGGCACTCTAGAGCCCTTTTCCTCTGTGGCTTTTGGAGCACAGTGTCTCTGCAGGGCTTGCTCTGGTGGCACGAGTTCTGTCCTCCTGTCTCCTGGGAGGTTGGTGCCTTTGAGCATCCCAGTCCAGACGGTGTCAGAGAAAGAGGAAGTGCCAGTATGCCAGAGACCTCTCCTCACTCTGTCCAACTCTTCTTTTCCAGGTTTCCCTGGAATACAAGGCCGACCAGGTCCTCCAGGTGAGAACCTTTAACCGATTTCTTTGTAGAATCCGTGTATACTTCCGTGTGACTTACATTCCTGTGTGCTTATCACATACATTGGCTATTTGCTTGAGACGGAGTAGTTATTATACATCTTTTTAGTTATCAAAGCAGAATATGCCCCTCATGTGTGTTTGCTTTGTATTTTATAAGATGCAAGTTAGCATGTCATTCCTTACTTTTAGACATGCTTGGCAAAGAGGGGACTCTTATCTCCCTGGAGACGCTGACCTGCCCTCTAGGCTGGTCTTCTGGGAAGATGTTTTGTCTTTGCAAGGGTTCCTCTAGGTTTTGGGCCATGGGCTCTTTCTGGTTCCAAAGCAGATGTCCTGATACCCCTTTGCCCTCCCCTAGTCATCTCTCCTCCATTCTGTACTTGTGTGGAGTCTTCTGGAGGTTGCCCTTCTCTACTGGGATCCACGTGTGACTGTTTCTTCCCCAGGATAGCAGGACCTGCTCTGCATGGCCTCCAGAGCTACCATTGCCCAGGGCCCCCATCATCAGCCTTATGGGCTATCACAAGCCACCTTGTCTGACTCCTTAGCCCCTTAACACCTAGAATGACAGAAGTGAAATCTACATATTCAGATGTAGCTATTGCCTTGTGTTCAAGCCTTTCCTTAGGCTGGATAAAAGAATTTGCCTTAAATTCCCCTTTCTGCTGTTGCCTTCGGTTGCCAATCCAATTCCTGTTTTCTGGGCCTCCAATTTCTTTTGTAATTACCTGTCTTCTTTTACAAACAAGTTCTGGGGATTGAACCAAGGGCCTTGCACATGGTGGGCAAGTGTTCTGCCACTGAGCCACACCCCACCTCCCCTAGCCCTTTTTATATTTTCTACTTTGAGTCTCACTAAGTTACCTAGGCTGGCTTTTAATTCTCTGTAGGTCCAGCAGGCCTTGAACTTATCAAACTCCTACCTCAGCCTCCCAAATAGCTGGGCTGACAAGCCTGTGCCACCAGGCCCGGCCTTTAATGACCTTGCTATGTACTTTTTCTCTGAGTAGAAGTAGGGTATGCCCTCCACACTTTTTTTATGCACAGCACTGGAAATACTTTGGATTGAGAAAAAAAATCGCAGATTCTTATTTCAACATGAGCCATTTTCCTTGAAGTTAATTGGTAGGGGGCATCTGACTGTTAACACTGAGTGGCTGGAGGAAGCCTGCTGACTTAATGTACTGTGCTTGTTTAGAGCAGTTCCCCTCAGTGAGGGTCTACTAGTCATTTTACCTTGGATGGAGTTAAAAGGAGTTCAGAGAAGTTTATGTTGGGTTGTGAACTGCCTTCAGGCTATTTACATGAGTTCCTGTGCTGGTTACAGGCTTCCCTATACCAGGGCAGGCTGGTGCTCCGGGCTTCCCTGGTGAAAGAGGAGAAAAAGGTGACCAAGGAGTTCCAGGCGTGTCTTTGCCAGGTCCCAGTGGAAGAGACGGGATCCCAGGTCTTCCTGGCCCTCCTGGCCCTCCTGGGCAGCCAGGCCACACAAGTAAGTACTCTCATGGATGACTTCATGGGTGTCCGTCAGATATCAGGAGTCCAGGGTAGAGCTGGGCTATGGCTGCTGCTGAAAGCAGTGTCATGCTTGGGTCTCTGACCCTTGGTTGCTTATTTATTTTTTGCTTGAGTAGCTTTGCAGAATTAACCATGGTGCCAAAAAAAGAATCATTAAAAACAAAGTGGCTTAAAGGGATAAGTAACATGTTAACTAGCTCTGAATCTCCTGGTGGCTGAGGTTAAAGGTAAGCTGGCTGAGTTGTTTGATTTTTTTTACTGACAGCTGGATGTGCTTTGCTTTATGTAGAGATACTGTGTGTAATGATACTAAATGACCTCATGGGAATAGATTCCACTAGAGTATGCCACAATATAATGCATGCCTTCCAGTTTGGATGGAGTGACACATGGAGTTATATCAGCTTTCTATAAGAGCCGAGACTGTACCATGAGCTCTTGATTGCAGTAATTGTAAGAAAGTTCTAGAGGATTTAACCAGGCCAGTGGGAGCATTTCAGACCTCCAAAGCAAGATGTTGGGTCTTGGTGGATCAATACCAGTGTGAGCCCTAAGGAGCATCTGCAGAGGGATCCCTGTGTGCTGTTACAGGCTTCCCAATACCAGGGCAGGCTGGTGCTCCTGGCTTCCCTGGTGGAAGAGCAGAAAAAGGGGACCGAGGGTCAGCAGTGAGGCCTTAGAGAGAGTCTCCAGCGGGAACCCTCTATTCGCTGAACATAGTAGGATTTATGAGCTTGGAGCTCTATGATGTTGGTTCCTAGAACTCAAACCCATTTTTATGAGAGGGAAGTGAGTTCCCATGGATGAGGCTGATAAGGAGGACAGATAAAGGCTGGGTAGAGTGATTGAGAACAGATGGATGGTTTCCTTGGGAAAGGATTAGCTTGCATTTGAGTGGAGAAATGGACAGATCATATGTGGCTTTCTGGAACTTCCTCCTCTTCTGTGACTTTTGAAACGTGGAAATGGAGGATGAAGACTGGGAGTCCTGGAGATGTTCCACCCAGAGTCTCTCGCTCTGAGTCTCAGAGAAGGGTGTGAGCATCCACAGGGTCAGTAGCTCTCTTCTCCAGTGAGCAGGGGTTGGGGTGCCTGCCATGCAGATGCAGCAGGCTGTGTTGGAGCCGTAACAACATAGAGGATCCTGTCCTGAAGTGTGCATTGCCTGGGAGACAGGTGTAGACAAAGACAGTAAGTTATGAGTAGTGTAGAGCTGACGGGAAGGGTAGCAGAGAGGGCCAGAGTGGAGTTCTGGACTGGGGCAGGTTCTCCTGAACAGAGCCAAAGATAAAGACATGGTAAGGGAACCCACTATGGGATAAATCATGGAAAAGAATCCTTTTTTTTTTTTTTTGATATTTTTACTTTTACAAGTTCTAAAATAGGATTATATTTCTTATTTTAAAAACTGAAGTTTTCATTACTGTAATTGAGTAGATTAGCTAATATCTACCACTCCCATGTTCTTGAATTGCCCTGTGCAGTCAATGTAAATTAAGTCATTCCCAATCTCAGCATATTAAGTGCAATTTACAAATGAAATTTTTTATTCACCTTTACAGTACATGTTAAAGAGGCTGCATTTGAAAGCTCTTGCTAGCACGGGGGCCCATCAGTAGCTTATTAACCATGCAATGTGGAGATTTCTCCATCCTCTTTCTGCTACTGGGATCGTCTCCCAGATGTTCACAGCAGGCCCTGAGCCATCTGAGACTGCAGACACTGTCCATCAGCAAGAGTCCTATAACATAGACCCCAGATTTCATTTAAAAGTCCCCCAAAGTAATCACTATATTCTTGCTTTATTTAGACTTAAAAATATTTTAAATTTGCCTCGGGAGGATGCTTTGTTGCTTTCACTGGGAATGTGCAGGAATTCCATTTGAGATGGGGCAGGCAGGAGGAATCTTCTGGGAAAGGAATATATTAATTTTATGCTTCAGTATTCATGAGCTATTTACAAAATTGGGAAATTCATATGCCCTGGGCCTACAGGACCGGTGACTATAGGTGTTTCACACTTAAGAATACATGTTTAGCAATTAGGGACTTAGGACTTGATTTAAGAAGTGTAAAGGTGGGAAAAGCTTTTTCTAGGGTGGAGTCTCCTTTGCACATGAGTTGTAGTGTCAGCAGGAGCTAGGCAGGAGATCTCTGGTCCTCAACAATTCTCACAGCTCAGGTATTTTCACTCCCTCTTCTTTGGTGGGAGAAGGTCATAGAAAACCACTCAAGAAACCAGTCAAGAAAGCTTGACCCTCCTTCAGTTCTCACAAATCTGAAACTCACTTTTCCATATGAGCTCCAAACCAAGTCAGAACTGGGAGAGTTAGACTCCTGTCCTAGCTGGACAGGGGAGTCGAACAGGCTGACTCTGGTTAACACATCCAATTAAAAAGATGGTTCCTAGACCTTAAATCAGTCTTCTTGGAGGAAAGGGAGTTCCCCTGGTTGAGGTTGATAAGGAGGACAGATAAAGGCTGGGTAGAGTGATTGAGACCAGGTGGGTGGTTTCCTTGGGAAAGGATTAGCATAAATTCAAGTGGGGAAAGGGACAGATCATATGTGGCTTTCTAGAACTTCCTCCTCTTCTGTGACTTTTGAAATGTGAAAGGGGGATGAAATCTGGGAGTCCTGGGATGGTCCACCCTGAGTCTTTCATTCTCTGAGTCTTGAGAGAGGGCTGTGAGTATCTATAGGGTCAGCAGGTCTCTTCTCTGCTGAGCAGGGGTTGTGCTGGGGTCTGGGTAGAGATGCTGGCTGCCAGTCTTAACTCTGTCACTCCCAAAGTGTCAAACTCTATCACAATGTGTCTCTGAACTGTGAAACAACACTCCTTTTACTAGACCCGTGACAGATGGTGTTTGCAGTATGGTCGTTGGTATTTTCATACCTATTTGCATACGGCATGAACAAGCATTAGAGGCTTTTCCCCAGGACAGCCTGCATCTCTAACATGATGACCACTTGCTGGTACTTAACCTGGAAAGAAAGAAGTGGAGTTGGCCTAGTCTTTGGGTTGACCTTAGTGCCTGCTCAGCAGTAAATCCCATTGTTTGAGCTTACTCTTTACTCTGTAAAGTTGGATGATGACACGTACTTTGAGGGGAAAAATGAAATGAGGATGGAGCTAATGGAATGTGCTTAGACTCTTTGAAACAGGATCTTAGCTGTGGTTTCTGCAGTTGCACAGAGGGCATCCTGTATATGATGGTTTTGCAAGTTAATAACCTAGGCTTGTTTGGAAGCAAATAAGAATTGGGTTTCTAAAATGTTCCGATTAGCCCAATAATTTGGCTTTATAATAAGGTCAGTTAGGAGACGGTGGAAATGCCTAGCTGTGGTCTTACAGTTTTTAAAAATTGCTTTCAGATGGCATTGTGGAGTGTCAGCCCGGACCACCCGGGGATCAGGGTCCTCCTGGGACTCCAGGGCACCCAGGATTGACTGGTGAAGTTGGAGAAAAGGGTAAGAAATTTTAATTTATTTTTTTAAAACAATGGTTGTATTTGTACAGATCAAACCCCTCCCCCAATTACTTGCTCAGGTTTTGTCAGATTAGGGTGGGGTGCAGGCAGAGCACCTGTTGCTTTATTTAGGGGTACTTTACATCCCAGAATGTATATTCTGCAGCTCAGCTGAGATTGTCTGATGCTGAGCTTCTGCCCTAGTTGTAGGGAGGGGGAGGAGGAGACTCAGCCCTGAAGGCCAGTGGACTGTCCTTCACCTTCCCAAGGACTAAGAATCTAGTTTTGCTTCTATTTGCATCTTCAGCAGATCAAAGTCTCAACTGATAGCACAGGTTTGAAGTTCAGAGCTTGCAAGTTTCCTTCGAAAAGAAAACACGTCCTTCCTTCAAGCCAATCACCCATCTATACCTGGGGTCTCAGGATCCTTCAAAGCCTTGTTTTTATCAGTCAGGCAGCCCTGCTATTGATGGATTAACCAGCTTTACTCTGGGCTCTCAGTTTTATCTCTGACCTTCCAAATGTTTGCTGTGACGTCAGTGCAGGACACTGATTTATCTCTTCGGCAATCAGATGGTGAGACGGGACTGCACCAACAGCACTGACTTAGCACAGACTAAACAACAGCATTCCGATATTTATGTGCCTGTTAACTGTGGAGCAGAACAAATAGAGGGCCCTCAGAAAACCAGCTCCATTGTTGACCATTTCTGGCTTGGACTGTAAAGAATTTGAACTCTTCGAAAGTCTAAGCTATAAATATGTGGAAAACAACTCTCTTTAGAGAGCATCTTGGCATTTGCACAGCGACAAGATGCCAGGGTTTTTCTGAGTCCCTCTCTTTACCACATACACACTACTTTCTGCGATGAGTTTTTCATTTTATGATGGACCTGAAGTCCAGAGTTTTTAGGCTGAAATCATGTTTATCCACCTATAGAATCCTAGGAGAAACATCTTGGGGTGTGTGTGTGTGTGTGTGTGTGGACTGAACTCTGCACCATGGGCAGATGTTTCACCACAGAGCCACACCCCCACTCTTTACCCTCTTGTTACAGCACTATGCCCCACATCTAGTCTTGGGAGTATAGATGCCCACAAAATCCCTTGGTGTCCAGAATTTAGCTAAGTACTCAGGCTGCACAAGAGCCATCCCCTGTGGGTTCCTGTTCTGTCTCCTGGAAACACAGGCCTTTCTCCCCCATCACCTCAGAGATATGAACCTGCCTGCACAGTCCTGTTTCCCCTCCTGGCAGTGGCCTGATGGAGGGAGATGGCAGCAGTGGGGCCTGTGGCAGGGGTGTCAGTCAGGGCTAGTCCAGTAATGCAGGGACATTGAGCCTCTGCTAGGTTCCTAGTTTCTCCTCAACACTGTTGGCTCCATCTTATGCCTTATCTGTGCCTAGAAACCAGTTTATGATTTGAGATATACTTATAGCTGAGACCTCGAAAGGCCTTTGAGCTTAGTTTGCAAAACAAAACTTGAGATGTGATGATTTCCAAAGCTGGGAAGTGTCTCCCATGACTCCACACTGCCCTCTCCCCCTGTGGTTGCACACTGCCCTCTCCTCCCATGGTTGCACACCGCCCTCTCCTCCCATGGTTCCTCACTGCTCTTTAATTCCCATGGTTCCACACTACCCTTTCCTCCCATGGTTCTACACCATCCTGTCCTCCCATGGTTCCTCACTGCTCTCTACTTACCATGGTTGCACACTGCCCTCTCCTCCCATGTTCAACGCTGCCCTGTTCTCCTATATTTCCCCACTGCCCTCCTCCTCCATGGTTCCACATCACCACCTTTTCTCTACCCAGCATCCAGCCAGCCAGGAATTTGTTTCTGCTTTTGTAACCTCATATCGATTGTCTTCAACCAAGAATATGGGCTTTTGTTCATACTCAGTAAAAAAGCACTAAATCAGAGAGAAGAGGGGGAGGAAGTCTCAGAACTAGAGGGAGAGTTAATGGCTCTTTCAGGCCAATGGCAGAACCACCAGCCCCATCCTTGTGCTGAGAGAGGGGCAAGGACTTATTAGACATGCATCAAGTGTGCATGCAATGTGCTGGGGGCAGCAGGGTGTTCATTCACAGCAGGGGAGCCCCCTGGGATGTGGGTTCACCTCACTGAGAGTGCGGCGGGCTGGGATGATAATGAAGAAGAGGGAAGTTTGCCTTAATGTCATACATTAAGCACTCTGTGCTTCCTCTTTCAGGTCAGAAAGGAGAGGGCTGCCTGGCCTGTGATACAGAAGGACTTCGAGGCCCCCCAGGGCCACAGGGGCCCCCAGGAGAGATAGGTAAGCTCTGGGGCATGGGAAGACACAGGTCAGAGTTGGCCTTGTGGTCAGATGCCTGCTTCCCCAAAGCAGAGGTCTATCAGTGAGGACCAAAGCTTGTTACCTGAGTGTGTCTACGTGGAGGACAATGGTCAAGGGCACTTGTCACAGTGGCCTCAGAGGTTCTCCTGATAGAAAGGAATGACACAGTGATTCTCAAAGCTCTGCAGATAAAGTTAGCACCAGGGAAGTCAGCAGGCTTACTTCGTAGGGTCTTGGGGCTGCAGGTGGGTAGACATTGCAGCTACCTTCTTAGTGACTTGTACACAGGGCTCATGATTTCCCCCCTGAGCCTATATTTTAGGAGTTTTAGTTTTAGTTGTCTAACTTGCTAGATGTTCTTCAAATGATAGTCTACTTCATAGAAAGACTTTGACATGGTTGACTCTTGGGGAAAGGGGGTTTGAAAGAGTTGTGCCATTGGTGCTGTGGTTCTGTCTCTTTCCAAAGGTTTTCCAGGACAGCCTGGGGCCAAAGGCGACCGAGGCCTGCCTGGCAGGGATGGTCTTGAAGGATTGCCGGTAAGTGCACCTGCCTGAGTTCATGCACATACTGAAGTCGCCACCGAAGGAACCAGAGCCATACGTTCTTAAATTCTCACTCAGTTTCTGTATCCTGTGGGAGTTGGCACGGTGATGGTGAATGAGCGCTTCTCTTCCTCACACCCTCACCGAAGCCTGGAGAACAAGTATGACTGTTAAATTTACAGCCTGTGTCCCCACGGCCTTCTCACTTCCTCAGTACAGAACTGCCCCCATCTTTGTCCAGGCGCTGCTGGGTGGTCATTGGTACCAGCTGGACTGTACAGCATCTTGTTCTCAGGGTTTCAGGTCCAGAGGGTACCACTAGTCACTTACCAGTAGTCTCCAATCTTGCTGGAGAGTTTGGTTGCTGTCTTTCTCTGAGATAGCTGCTCATGGCATCACCTATGTAATCTTCTAAAGTCTTATCGGTTGGGTGTGATCAGCCCCAGGGGTATCTCTGGACAGAGGGAGTGAAGCTGGCCTTTTTCTTTCCTGGGATTTGAAATATCTTTTCAGAGATGTTCCATGTCACCACAGCATCTACATTGTAGATGTCTTTTCAAATCTACAAGTGAAATCTTCATGAATTCAGAGAAACAAATATGAAAACTTTCAGTCGAACGGAATTCCAGCAGCTAAGCCTTGCTTTAAAAGAAGTCATTCTGAGAAGAGAACAAATTATCTCTAATACTTAAAGGAGTTACTTAATTGCATGAACTTGGTTTTCTTTGCGAGGAATAAAACCTCACTGAGCCTGTTTCTCTCTTTGCCTCTCCCAGGCTCTGTAAGCATTAGCTAGTTTCTCTCATTTCTTTCCGTCTCTTTTTCCTTCTTTGTCAGAAATCGAAAGTTAAATATTTATCCTTATCCTTTTCAGCTTTGGCTCTTTAAAATTGTTCCCTGCTTTTAGCTATTATGGGAAGCATTGCTAAAGGAGGCCAGGGCAGAAATGAAGGAAGCAGGAGAGAGATGGTTGGCAAGCCCCTGTGCCCTCCTTTTGAAGTCACGTCCCAACTCTGCTTCCCAGAATGGTTCTGGTGCCTGGGGAGCAGAGTTAGAAATCACAGTTGTTTAAAATAGTTCTAAGCAGATGAAAAGTTCAAATAGCTGACCGTGATGGGGGACCAAACTTTGAAGGATATAGAAAAGGATCTGTCCACCTCTGCCCATTGCTTTTTATCCTTTATCTGCCTGGCTTTCCTGAGGCCCTTCCTGCCTCCTCATTAGCTAGAACCCAGGCCAGACATCTGGCCTCTGACCCCAGATAGCATGAAAATGCACAAAGAAGAGAGAGGTGAGAGAGAGGAACAGTTGGGGAGACATCAGGAAAAAGACAAAGAGAAAAACCCCACAACACAAATGCTCTCCTCCTGCCTTTAGGAGCCGTTTCTTCCCCAGGATGTCCAAAGCCTCTGAGAGCAGAGGGGTGTAAAAACAAACTGCTTCTTCAGGAAGACAGTCATTCCCTTTATTAGTACCAGATCACAGCTTCATGGTTCAGTCAGCTCTGAGATGCAGCCCTTCTATTTTGAAAGTAACTGGAGGCTGGGAGGCATGCCCACCAGCAACCAGGCACCGGCGCATTAGCTGAGGTGGACACGCACAGTGCCAGCTGTTCTTTGGGTTTATATGGTGTTCCCATGATGCTTCCTTTTAAAAGTCCAGTGTTTGATTTTAGTAACGAACAGTGGCTCTGTAAGTGAGACCAGGAGCTCAAGTGTGTCCTAGCGGATCTCATGGGCACTGGGCGTGTTCAGCCAAAACAGGCTGTGCCCAACTTGGCACAGGGACACAGTTGTTGGATGTCAACAGCACAGGTGTGTCAGCTTCCTTCCCTCAGTAGAGCAGCTATGATTGGGCTTTCAAGGCAGCAGAGGATTCCTTATGGGACTTAGATGAAATGGCTTCAGGCAGGTCAGGATCAGGAAATTTTGTGCCAAAAAGATATTTGAGGTATTTTAGCATTACCAGGACCACTTTTAAAGAAGTTGAAACTCCTCCTCCAATAGAGTGGTGACTGGCAAGATCCTCACTTGTTAAAATTTTAAAAATTCTATTTTCCAGCCAGGCATGGTGGTGCATGCCTTTAATCCCAGTCTGGGTCTATATAGTGAGTTCTAGGCCAGCTGGGGCCACAGGGAGACCTTGTTTCAAAAAACCAATAATAATAATAATAATAATAATAATAATTCTGTTTTCTTACCTTAATATCATAGGAAAAGCTTTGTGTCTAGACAGAGAACAATCACTCTGAAATAAAGAAGTAATGGTACTCTTGGATAGAAACAAGTAGATACTGGTTGTAATTTCTTCCGTTGATTTTCTTTCTTTTTTTTTTTTTTTCTAAGACAGGGTTTCTCTGTGTACCACTGACTGGCCTGGAACTCACTGTGTAGATCAGATTGACCTCAAACTCACAGAGATCCTCCTGCCTCTGCCCTCCAAGTGCTAGGATTAAAGGTGTGTGCTATCACACCTGGCTGGTGTTTGTTTTTATGGATGAACATGGCCTGTTGTCTCCTTTGTCATAAACATCAAGGAGAAAGATAGAAAAGTTGGTTCTGCCTCCAAAGCCTCGGATGCCGGCGGAGGGACAGGACTGCTGGCACGTTGTCCTAGGGAAGAGGAGTAGTTTCTGGAATGACAACCTTACAGCACAGTAGAAGAGGCCTGGGCATGCCAGGAAAGGCTTTGTGGGGCTAATTTTCACTGGGATTTATGGGGACATCGTTGTGAATATTAACACCACAGAAGCAGTTAAAAGACACAATACCTTTTAATGAAATATTTTTTACAGCCTTCTGCTAACATTTCCAGCAGGTGGCTGGCAGAAGTACTTGTTTTCCATTCTTTATAGTTAAGCAGACAGCCTTAGTGGCTCCACCTTTCTGAGCAGACACCAGAGCAGTGTCTCATGTCCAGAGCCTAGCTCAGGGCCTTCCCGGATCAGTGTCCAGTAGAACTTTCTGTCACAACAGAAGTATTCTGTGTGTGTATGACTGTTCAGCTTTGTAGCCACTGGACAGTGGTGGCTATTAAGTCCTTGAAATGTAGATGAAAGGACTGAAGGACAGTCTTTTTTAGGGTAGTTAAATGTTTAAATAGTACAGGATGGGGCAGAGAGCAGCTCCCGAGTCTACCCATCCTTGGCCAAGCTGGAAGGAAGGCATCACATGTGGGTCTGCTCTTCACAGCACAGTTGGCTAAGGAGTACTGAAGACATAAAAGTTAGTCATCCTTTCTACATTAGTCTAGACTGGATGGACTTTGAGCAGGCCGTAGAGCCTCCTTCTGTGAGCCCCATCCCCATGTGTGCCTGGCAGATTTCACTGGGTAACACCTGGCCCTCATCAGTGCTGGTAAGGGGACACAGATAGGCTTTGTAGACAGGAGCTGGTACTCTTGTACCCAGATGCTGCACCTTCTGGCTGGGTAGTCTTGGTGACTTGTTTCTTTGAGCTGATGTCAACTCCCTTCCTCTGTTGGGCTGAGGTGCTCATGTTTTCCCTGTAGAGTTGTGATGAGGGTTAACAGCTGGATCATGAGGGTCCAGCACATGGGTAGGAATCCAGTGGCCACCATTTTTTGAATCTAGAGGATGCATGAGTTTTGGAGAGTCTCTGGTTTTCTGTTTCTTTCTTGGAGAAGTATACATCATGGGAAGAGGGGTTTGACACAGTGCATGGAAAGGGATTATAATAAAATGAGTTATAGAGAGTTTAGATTCTGCCAAGTCCTCAGTGAGCCTGCTGTGCCTTTCGCACGCCTAAGAGACAGCAGTTGGGATAAATACTCGACACCTTTGCCATCCTCTTTGTGCACCTCTGCTCTCAGGGAGGCTGGCAGAGACAGGGTGGTGGGCGTGGGCATTCTTTGTAGACTCGACTTTCCAGAAGCTGAAAACACTCTAGACTGTGTCTCTTGAGAGAGTCTTAGGAAAGTCTGAATAACTTCCCCAAAACCTAATTACAAAGCTGCGCCCATGCTCTTTCCCTGGGTTTCCCCAATCACTGGTGCCCTGGAAGCCCTTATCTCTTCCAGACTATGGAGCGCCACTGTGAAAAGGAAACCTGGGTAGCTTCAGTATGCACAGACCAAGAACAATGATGACTCCCACCCTTCCTCACAGCCTCCGCTGCTTCTGTATCCACACGGTGCCTGGAGTTCCCAGGCATAAGAGTCACACATGGTGTGAGAGTCATACATATTCAGCACCCCAGCAGTCACCAAGACATTCTCTCAAACATTTAACAGTTGTTAGGGAACAGAAAGTTACCCAAGGACTTTCTAAGAACTAGGTGCAGTGGCACCCTGTCCCATCTGGTCCTTGTGGAACACCTAAGAAAGTTATGGGATTTTAAGAAAGCACCAAGTGGAGAGGCTCTGTCAGGGAGCCGCTGGCTTGCTTCTACATGAGCTCTAAAGATGTGGTTTCCAGGAGGGTGGTTTTGCAGCTTCATGGCTGATGCATTGCATGGCAGACTCTTCTATGGTGTCACGAGCCTTTGTTTTTGTAGGGGCCTCAAGGTGCACCAGGACTCATGGGCCAGCCTGGAGCCAAGGGAGAGCCTGGAGAGATATTTTTTGACATGCGACTTAAAGGTGACAAAGGAGACCCAGGTTTCCCAGGACAGCCCGGCATGCCAGGAAGAGCCGGGTCCCCTGGAAGAGATGGCCACCCAGGACTTCCTGGCCCCAAAGGCTCCCCGGTAGGTTCATGTCTAGGCGTGGAGTGTGTGTTTCACTAGTGACGGTCTGGAAAGAGTGAAGAAATGAGTGCTTTGAGTCCTATCTGTAGTCTCATTTGGATGATGAACTTCCAAGCGCAGACTTTGTGGTTTAGGCCCACCTAAGTCCATGAATGTAGGGGTTGGTGGAGTGAACTTGAGTTAACTAGTTTACAGATGGCTGAGTCTTTTCTGATGTGCTGAGGACTGAATGGGTGGGTGTCCCTATCTTGTGTCCTCCACAGGAAGCTATTTATAAAAGCTAACACCACTCCCATTATTGAAAGATGGGGATGTAGAACTCTCCTCTGAAATGTCTCTGTCTTTCAGCTTGGCACTAGCGATGATTGCTTGGCTTACAGAAAAGAGTGCTGGTGTCACCTGTTAACTCCAGGTTGACCTGGTGGGCGGTGATACAGTAAGCTGTATGAGCTGACTAGACTATTGTCACTGATTTGCTACAGACATGTGAATGGACACAGATGCTGATGCTGTCTGCCTCCTGATAACCTTTCCTTCCTCTCGTCTCCTCAGGGTTCCATAGGCTTGAAAGGAGAGCGTGGTCCTCCTGGAGGAGTTGGCTTCCCTGGCAGTCGTGGCGACATTGGCCCCCCTGGGCCTCCAGGATATGGTCCTATTGGTCCCATTGGTGACAAAGGACAAGCGGGTTTTCCAGGAGGACCTGGGTCCCCAGGCCTGCCAGGTGAGGGTCAAGAACCTCAAGTGCCTTCAGGGGCAGCTTCAAGGTCACAGAGACTCTGGGTCAAAGATGCAGGGTGCTTTACTTCTTTCCAGAAGGGGGATGTGACCCGGGCAAGCCCTTCTGTAGCTTCCATTCTTCATTTTTTCCTATGTCAGGTGGATCAGCTAGTGTAGAGAGCGTAGGTCAGCCAAAGCCAGCTGCAGAGGTAGAAGTAGTTAAAACACAAGATTTTACAAAAAGATCTCCACTCTCCACATCTCAGGCATCTCTGGGCTAATCCTGTAAAAGTTCAACTCCATGTTGATTCAGGTCACTTGCTGACTTTTGAGTGGTTTGTGTGTCAAGCCCTAAGCAGAGCGTTGACAAGAAATGGTGAGAAAGATTCAGACCCTGCCCTCCCAGACTCCCCAGCAGGGTTTATCAGAGAACTCAGAGCAGGCACCATACACAGCTTTCTCTGTTTCCCAGGACCCAGTTCCTTATTAGGGCCCTTTGGGGGAAAGGTGCACCCTCCACCTTGCATAGGTAGGCAGGTGCTCAATTATTTATTTAATGTGATTCCACATTGACTGGAATGTGCCCATCATTCCCTAGTCAATCTTGAATGAGAAAGGGAGAGGCTAGAAGTGACTTGTGCACTGAGGAGGAAGTAAGAGTGCAAAGCCTTAGGTTTAATGAAGGACCTATAGTGACGAAAAAAGTGTGACTAGTAACCCTTGAAAAACATAGGAGATAAGTAGCCAGTGATGAGAATTCCCAGAAAGAACTCCGCTGGCGCGGTTACGAGGTGTCCTTGGCGCTAACGGTTCTGCTGATTCTGTCCCTAGCTGTAACACTAGCTCAGGTTTATTGATTCTTGTCCTCATTAGAGACATTATGTCCTCCTTGACACAGGTGGAATCAGCTGGTTTTGATGGGAAAGCCTGAGAGCAGTGTCCTGAGGAACCTTTTTTCATCACTATTGTTACCTATGGTCACTGTATACTCAGCACACACCCCATTGATAATTGTACTTTGTTAATAGAGGACACCAAAATGTTTCTTTTAGGACTCCCTCAGAAACAGAGAAATACAGGGGGAACTTTTAGAGACCCCAGTGAGTCAGGGAAAGGGACCTTTGATCACTTTTCTTCGCGGCTCCGACTCCCAAGTCAACAAGTCAATGTTCTTTGCACCATGGCTTCTGTAAAGTTCAGAGCTATGGAAAGAGTTAGACCAGAAATGGTCATGAGAGAAATCAGCAGGGCCCCTCCACATAGATCTCGCACACCAAGGAGAAGGCACCTGAAGGAGGTGCTGACGGTTTTCTTGACCAGCTGTCTGCATTCTGGAGAGTTCCTTGCTATCTAGACCCTGTCCAGTTCTGGATTAGGAAACTGACCTTTGATCTGTGGAGCTTTGTTTATGTGGTGACCATAAATGCCTGGATCCCAGGGTGTCACCGAGCAGCCAGTCAGTTCCCACGGTCTGTAGTGAGAGGCAGGCCAGCCATTCCTGGAGGCTCTACTTACCTGGAATTCCATGGGGTACTGAGGAGTCCTTGTGCACTCCCAGAGGAGCCCGGTGACTTTGAACAGCAGTATCCTGACCTCCAGTACTTCTTAGGGTATAACTAGGAAGGGATATAAAATGTTCACCTTATCATTTGGATAACTTACCTCACAGTGAGCAGATTCAGGTTAGCTGCTGGGGCTATCCTGTCTGATGAATTGAGAAAATGGTGTTTTGATTTTCTTTCTTTTTTCTTTTTCTTTTTCTTTTTCTTTTTCTTCTAGAACTTCTGCTAAGACTCCAGGTCCCTGAATGCATGAATCTGGGCTTGATTTGCAGGAGATACATGTGGGAGGGTGGAGCCAGAGTTGATGGGGGTGATGTGGGCTGGACTCATCTAGGTTCTCACCTCCCTGCAGGACATCACAGAGCAACTGCCTCTGCATCTGTAACATGGGTACCTGAGAGTGTTTCTCTTGGGGCCTACTGAGACCTGAGTAAGATAAAGTAGTTAAGGAGTTCAGTGCCATGTTTCCCCCCCTCCCCCGTCCCCAGACATGTACATCCCACTTCGCTTTTTTTTTTTTAATGGGAGAGTTTCCAAATCTCTATGACTTGAATGTGTTGAATAAACATTTTGATCATTTTTGGACATACATTTTGAGATGAGTAGATCTGGGCAAGACTCTAGAAATGTGGAGGGAGGAAACAAGGAACTAAAGAGCTGTGCAGCTGTTCAGGGTGCCTTAGAGGATGGGGGCGTGGTAGATACAGCCTATGTGTGCTGAGAGGACTGGGTGCACTGACCGCATGATGTGTCCCCAGAGGATTTGGGGCCTTAGCTGGGGTGTGGTGGTCCCACACTGTGTCCCTCAGAGGATGCTGACCCTCTGTTAGAGCATGACAGTTCCCATGCTGTCCTGTGAGAGGCTGGGGTATGGCAATTCACATATATGATGCTCTTGTTCTCTTTCCTCAGGTCCAAAGGGTGAAGCAGGAACGGTAGTTCCTCTACCTGGCCCTCCTGGAGCAGCAGGACTTCCAGGGTCCCCTGGGTTCCAAGGGCCTCAAGGTACTATTGATGTCTGGCTTGCCTGGTCACCACAGGATTCTCTCAGCCTTTCTTCTACTGATCACCAATCTTTCTTACCACAGGTGACCGAGGCTTCCCAGGAACCCCAGGACGGCCAGGCATCCCAGGAGAGAAGGGTGCTGTGGGCCAGCCAGGGATTGGATTTCCTGGGCCTCCTGGCCCCAAAGGTAAGCTTCTGATGAGCCTAGTGTGTGGGATATGACTCTGGCCAGTGGCCCTTATGGGGAAGGATGCCGTGATCTTCCATGACTGGTTCCTGGTGATGGATTTGTCTTATGCCACTCTGTGTGGAAAGAGAAGGCCCTGGCCACAAGGCACCCTCCAGCCAGCACTTATGGTCCCAGAGGGGCCTCCATGGGTTTAGACCACTCAGATGGCGATGACCCCACCACCTCCAACAAGTGGCAGATAGGCAGATGTCACCTTGTGTAGAGGGTCTACTCTGTAAGCAGGTAGCACAAGAGTATGCAGCCTACCCAGCACCACCATATGCTGCTTCTGTTTAAATGATATGTTAGCTACTTTTCTGATTACCCTGAGAAAATTCCTGACAAAAAGCAATGGAAGGAAAGAGGGAAGAAGTGAGCGAGGGAAAGGCTTATTTTGGCTCCCAACTGAAGCATACAGTCCATCATGGAGGGGAAGGCATGGCAGCAGGGGTGTGAGGCAGCTGCTCACATGGCATCCACTGTCAGGAAGCAGAGAGATGAATGCTGGTGCTCAGCTCGCTCTCTCCATTTTATTCATTCTGTGACCTCAGCCCATGGAGTGGTGTCAGCTATATTCAGAGTGAGTCTTCCCACCCCAGTTACTTTAGATTAAGTTAATCTAGATATATAGCTTTGTCTCCTGAGTGATTCGAGACCCTGTCAAACTGACAGTTAAGCATGACAAGTGAAGAATGTGGAGTGACTTTACAACTATAATGGTTTTCTTGACTCTTCATAATAGGTGTTGATGGCTTGCCTGGAGACATGGGACCTCCTGGGACTCCAGGTCGCCCTGGATTTAATGGCTTACCTGGCAACCCAGGGGTGCAGGGCCAGAAGGTAGGTGCTGAGCATTCCCCATCTTTGTTGTTTATTGGACATATAAAATGTGGATTATAAATCTCATGCTTGGACCAGCGTGATTTCATTTTTAATGAAATAGTGTCCAAGAGGCGGTAAGGAAGTTAGTTACTTGTTTCAGCTGTGTGAAATTTTTATCTCAGCTTTATGTATATTGGGGTTCAGTGTGAAATGTGTTTCTAATTGTGAGTGACAGACAAAAGATGTTTGAGAGCCGTTGTCCCAAAAGAAATAGCCAACCAAGAGGGCCACACATAGGACATCCCAGCCAAGGTCTGGCTGATGCTATAACTATACGGGCCACCCTGTGCCTGGTGCCCAGTGATCTCCCTGGCTCCCGCCTTCGAGACACCAACAGAGTTCCCTTCACCTGCAGTTGTGACAATTAGAAACATGTCCCCACTTTGCCAGGTGTCACCTGGGGTGGACTTGCTTCTGGCTGAGTCCTGGTATTGTGTGACTTAGCATTTTCCTTCCCTCAGTGTCCTCCTTCATCTCATCAGACTTGAAGTTTTTGAGTGACTACTGATCACTCTTTCCTGTTCTGATTAGAGGAAACAGAGGGAAATTCCTGCAAGGCATGGGCACAAAGCAGAAGAAAGGGCTCAGGGCTCCAGATGACCACTGCCCATGATGGAACCAGTTGGGGCCTCTATTTTGGGAGACAGCAAGTGTACACAGAGATGGCCCCAGTGACCCAAGGCCTATTCCCTCAGAAACTCTGATACTGAGGCTCCTTGTTTAGGCAACTGAGACTGAAAAACCATTTCTAATTGCTTTACTTCTGGTATTTTGGGACTTTTCAGGGAGAGCCTGGCATTGGGCTGCCAGGACTCAAAGGGCAGCCAGGTCTTCCAGGCATTCCTGGCACACCTGGAGAGAAGGGCAGTATCGGGGGACCAGGTGTTCCTGGAGAACATGGCTTGATCGGCCCTCCTGGACTTCAGGGGATCAGAGGTAACTTCTTAGACTGTGTCAGGATGGGTCTCTTGGCTTTGTGTTCGCAGAGCACCTGCTGAGGGCCCAGTCCACTCTGGTTCAAATGGTTTGATGAGACTCCGGCAGGGTTCCATGGCTGTGACTGGTGTACGAATGGGTGGTGTATGGGATAGAACCCATTCTATCCTCCAACTTAGATTCATATCTTTCCTGACAGGTGACCCAGGACCTCCTGGAGTTCAAGGCCCCGCAGGACCACCAGGAGCTCCAGGAATAGGACCTCCTGGAGCCATGGGTCCCCCCGGAGGACAGGGACCACCAGGGTCATCAGGTGATGTAACTACTTCTTCCCAAAGCATGTGAATGGTGGGACTAGAGGGGAGGTTACCACAACTGCCAAAACAATGGCAGTCGCCCCGAAGCGAAGATTCCTATTATTTCCTCCCACTGAGTCTGGTTTATGTGCCAAAGAAATCTCTCTATTACATACTCGCTAGCTTTTCAAGTTTTATTTTTAATGACCTTCCCCTGCTATCTTCATTTGGAGGCTTAATATGTTATTGATAATTTAAGTGATTCCATATCTAGCTGCCTTTGCTCTTCTACCAATAATCCTAGAATTATACTAATTATACTAGTACAGGAGGGTTTAGAACAAAATATTCAGTGGAAACTGGCATACACTAACTAGGTCTGGTAGGCTTTACAGAAGACACCATCACCCTTGGTGGCAGAAAGGACTGGCTTTTCTCTTAGAGCTTGGCTTACCCACTGACTACCTTGATGATCCCGAACCCTGGCCATCATTCAAGTCCCCAAGATTGGCAGGCTCACATGCTTTCTTCAGAAAATACTATACATAGTACCCATTCTGGAGCATTCCATGAGTTATTCTAAAAGATATTTGCACTTCACCCAACCTCAGGTCTACCTGGAGTGAAAGGAGAGAAAGGTTTCCCTGGATTCCCTGGACTGGACATGCCTGGCCCTAAAGGAGATAAAGGGGCTCAAGGACTTCCTGGTCTCACCGGACAGTCAGGGCTCCCTGGTCTTCCTGGACAACAGGGTACTCCTGGAGTTCCAGGGTTCCCAGGTAAGTGACATCTGAGCTTTGTCTCTATTGATGGTGAGGGAACAGGCCTTGGTACCCATCTTTCCTGATTCCTAACATTTGCTACCCATGGTCCACATAAGACATGTTCACAGACCTACATTTTGTCTACAGGTACTAAAGGAGAAATGGGTGTCATGGGGACCCCTGGGCAACCAGGCTCACCAGGACCAGCAGGCACCCCAGGATTACCTGGAGTAAAAGGTAAGAGGGTTGACAGTCTTCAGATCATCTCGTGTTTTTATTTCTTGAGCATCTTGGGAAATGCTTGCACTGTCTTAGATCACATTTGGTTTCAAGAAGTAGACGAAAGTGATACGGAAGTTCCAGCCAGGGGCTAGAAGATGCCTCTCTCTCTCAGTGGGAATTAATTCTGTGCACAGAGGGTTCAGTCCTATGCCTACCCAGTGGGTGGAGAAAGATGAGTGTGGCCTAGATTTCCCCTGTGAAGTGTGGTGTAATCTCCAGTCAGGTGAGGGGACAATGCCTGAGTCTTCAGAGCCACATCACTGCAGCCCATCCACATCATGGGTGGGAAAGTTCAGCTTTTTATTTCTTGCTGTCTGGAATTGGTCCAAAATACTTACAAAAGGAGAAATTGATTATAAGTTATAAAAGGGAAACTGATACTGTAAAGCAGAAAGCTGCCTATTCTACGATTTGTCTATAATTAAGGGGCACTAGGGACTGACAGGTTAAAAGAGTGATAAAGACACTTAGGAAGGAGGGACAAGGGATTCACCTGAATGACATGCTAGAATTATTAGAAAATGACAAATTTGAGACGATGACTTTGCTATTCATTTACCTGGGGTCACATTCTCCCATGCGACCCAAACACCTGTCACCCAGTGTTAGCTTGCATCATGTTCCAGTTCCTTCCCTCCTTTGCAGTTGCTGGCTAGAAAGAGTGTTGAAATTTTCAGCATTTCGACTGGAAGGCAGGGCCAGGTTTACTGAGCTCTTCTCTTTCCTCTACAGGGGACCATGGCTTCCCGGGCTCCTCAGGACCCAGGGGAGACCCTGGCTTTAAAGGCGATAAAGGGGACGTCGGGCTCCCTGGCAAACCAGGATCTATGGATAAAGTGGACATGGGCAGCATGAAGGGACAGAAGGGAGACCAAGGAGAGAAAGGTGGGTGGAGAATATTTCTCAGTGAAGACCACATCCCCCTGAGCTTCTAAGCAAATGTGGGGATGCCTTCTCAGCAAACATGGGCACTCACTGTGTTTTTCTGTGATGTATAGGACAAATTGGACCTACTGGTGATAAAGGTTCCCGAGGAGATCCTGGAACCCCAGGAGTGCCTGGGAAGGATGGACAGGCAGGGCATCCTGGACAGCCGGGTAAGTGTGGAACACATGGTTAGAGTTGTTACCAAGGAGCCTGCTTCTCTATGACATTGGCTTACTGGCCTTTTCTCTGTTATTCTAGGTCCTAAAGGCGACCCAGGTCTCAGCGGCACGCCAGGCTCCCCTGGACTCCCTGGACCCAAAGGATCAGTTGGTGGAATGGGCTTGCCAGGTAACTTGGATATGGAGACGAAGTCTTTGTAGGGCGGTGGGACGTGTCTACAGAGAGTATCTCTCCTCATTAGGAGGATGGAGTCCCTGGAGGTCATGTCTGTAACACTGATTCAACCCTCAGTTCTGGGTGGTCTCCTGGGGGGTAGATGGCGTTTGGCTGACACTATGATCATTGCTTAAAAAAAAAATTGTAATATGAAATATGTGCTGTCCACAGTCAGAGTCCAATTAGTCGGGGAGGCAGTGCTTCTCAGCCCAAGCTGCGAAGGGTCAGCCAAGCCTGGAACCTGCCTTCCTTTCGCCTCTCCAGTCATTGTGAGGCACCCTGACCACTTCCTTTGATGTGCAAACTCCTAGGCTGCTGGTTGTGACTGAGTTTAGTATCTTTGTTGCCAACATATATCATAAACTCATGTATGGTTGGTGCCCCTCTGAGCTTTTGATTGAGCTGATTGTATCATAAAATCATAAATGCTCTTATACTGATCATAGAGTAAATGCTCTAAATAGTTGATATATTTCTTCTCTTTCTTTATACAATGGTCTTCAAAAGATAGGGGAGCATTTGCATGAGGACTCTCAGCTGAGTTGTTTGTACATTGAGAAGCCGAGGGGTTTGTGTTCCATTACTGCTCTTGGTTGGTTGTCTGTATTAGCTGATCTCGAGTTCAAGCTTGATCATTTGTATTGTTAGGAACACCTGGAGAAAAAGGTGTGCCCGGCATCCCCGGCCAGCAGGGTGCCCCAGGCTCACCTGGAGAAAAGGGGGCAAAAGGAGAGAAAGGACAGTCAGGTCTGCCTGGCATTGGGATTCCTGGGCGTCCTGGTGACAAGGTAACCAGCCTCCCTCAGCCTCCTCCTTGCGTCTCCTTGGAATGTTTCTGGCACATGTTTGTTCGTCAACTCTCTTAACACATTCGATGAACTGTGACACATAACCACTCCTCCCAGCTTACTGAAAGTTACCTTCTCCTGCTTCTACTCACTCCCCTTCTCCCCAAGGAAAAATCTAGAAGCTCTGAGAGAGAGGGTGTCTAGACATCTCTAGCAGGAAGAAGAGGGGTGGGGTGAGGAACTTAAGAAGTAGAAAGGAGACACCGTAAGCATCTCAGAAGTGGATTTTGAGTCTTGGTTCTAAAATGCACCAATAGGATTCTGTGATGTGATGTTAATTGTACCAGAATGCTGTGGTCTATTGAGTGCTTACAGACACACACCCAGGGACATGTTAATATGCCGCCTTCTTCCTTGCAGGGAGACCAGGGGCTGGCGGGTTTCCCAGGAAGCCCTGGAGAGAAAGGAGAGAAAGGCAGCACTGGGATCCCAGGCATGCCGGGGTCCCCAGGTCCAAAGGGGTCTCCAGGGAGCATCGGCTATCCAGGTAGGTGGGCTGGGGGACTCCTGGGTTGGGCAATGCCTGGGTTGTGGATCACAGCAAGGGAAACTGAAGCTTACAGAACCTCTGGATTTTCATTTTCTCTTTAGGAAGCCCTGGGTTGCCTGGAGAAAAAGGAGACAAAGGCCTCCCAGGACTGGACGGTATTCCTGGAGTCAAAGGAGAAGCAGGTGGGACCACTGGCTGGCACCCGGTGGGCAGATGAAGGGTATGTGCGGGGTGGGCATGTCTCAGCCTCCCAAGAGCATAGATCCCTGTGAACCAGGCCCCAGGCTGTTTGGGGTCTGGGACCAGGTCCTGTCCCTCTACTTTTCAAATCAACAGACTTGAGTCTGTAGGAGTGCACATGATCTTTCTTTGGGAGGTCGTACGCTTATCAAGAACTAGGGCCAGAATCTCCTAGCTGTTTTTTTTTGTAGTGAGGTGGAAATTTTAGACTTTGATCTCCATTTTCTCTGTGAGGTTGCTAGCTGCAGGGAGAGTCCTGACGGAGGGTATCAGAACTGACTTCAGGTATTCAGGAAACAGTTCTGTTACCACGTCTGGATGTCTGAAAGGGGCCACTTTATGGAGGTTGGTGTGCTGGGAGAGTCCATGAGTGACTGTGATTTCTCCCCAAGGTCTCCCTGGCACGCCTGGCCCCACGGGCCCAGCTGGCCAAAAAGGAGAGCCTGGCAGTGATGGAATCCCAGGGTCCGCAGGGGAGAAGGGTGAACCAGGTGAGTTCTGCTCTGGTTCTCCTTCGGGGGGCTTGTGGTCCACTCAGACTGCATGCCACATTGAGTGAACAGAACTTTGTAAACAAGGGCATCTGTGCTGTGCTCCCCTCGGCTCTTGCAACGTGGATGTGGACATGAGGGGTGGGGTTGCGGGGAGGGTCATTTATTCTTTCTAAGCATGCTAAGGCTGGCTCTTCTCTTAGGATTGAGCCCAGGGCCACAGATGCAACACTGGATGGAGAAAAAAAATCTCTTTTGCTGTTGTAACAAGGCAGCAGTACCAGCTTCCAGCTGTGGCAGTCACACATAGCACAGTTTGAAATAGGTTACCAAGTCTGGCAGGACAGTAGAGGACCAGCTCAGGGTTTCCTCGCTGTTAGCACTGACTCTTCTCTTCAATTCTTTGTCCAGTTCTTCATGCCTTATTCTTATATTATGCACATTGATTTTCCTATAAAAACTATCTGTAAGAAGCCCTCTACATTCCCTCAAGTCACCTCTACCCACTGCTCAGGTGCAGCTGGCTCCCGTGTCCACTGTACTGTATGTCTCTCCAGCTTTCCCACCTCCCTGGGGAGGGATGGTGAGTTGAATGGTCATCAGAGAAAAGCCAGTTTGTCTCCAGACACTAGTAATGCTGCCAATCAGCTGCTTGGGTATTTTTGTTCTACTCAGGTTGAAATCACAAGTAGGCATCTTCTACTGCAGCCGTCCCCAGGCCTTGGCATACTCAGGGCTAGGACTGAACTGGCAGACCCAGAGGCTTCCAGTTGGAAACCCTAAAAGCTGGGGGCCTATTGCTCTGGGTTTAGATGCCAGAGATCTTTTTTTTTTCTCATCTTTTTGAGACAGGGTCTCCCTGTAGCCCAGCTGTCCTGGAACTCACTATGTAGACCAGGCTGGCCTTGACCTCATAGAGATTTGCCTGCCTCTGCCTCCCGAGTGCTGGGATTAAAGGCATGCGCCACCACACCCAGCTGCCAGAGAACCAGGCTGGTTGACCTCATAGAGATTTGCCTGCCTCTGCCTCCCGAGTGCTGGGATTAAAGGCATGCGCCACCACACCCAGCTGCCAGAGATCTTATGACTCTAGGCTTTCACAACTAGTGGGCCTGGCACTTGACAGCTATCGTAATCCTTGACTTCAGGCAGAATTGAGTGCCACCAGCATTCGCAGCACCCACTAGTATGACATCTTCTGAACAGACCTGAGTGTTGGGACCCTCAACTCCTCCAGCACCTAGTGTCACAGCTCTCAGGTCTAATGTCTGGGACCCTTGGCAGATTGGGAACTCTTATCAACCAGGGCCTGTCATTTCTACCTTGCAACTGTCGCTATCTCTGCTGCCGCTGCTCCCCGTTGTTCCTGCCCTGGACTCTCCCTGAGACTCTTTGGCCCCTCTCTGGATACTGCTGCTTCAGTCTCCTCTTTGTGTTATCCACTCAGCCCATTCTCCTAGTGAGAAAGACGAAAGGTAGACAACAAGCCCGACTGGGTAGAGGGAGACCCTGTCACAAACAGCAAACAAGACTGGGCTCTTGAGAAGCCTTTTGTTGGTTCTATGTTGAACACTAGGTGGCAGCAGACTGTGTGGCAAGGGTGTTTGCACTGTGTACCACCCATAGGCCTGCCTTTCCACTGGGACGCAAGGGGAGGGACTCCTCTAGTGACCTGGGTGGCTACAGGGACATTTAGAGTTCACTGGGTCTTGTCTTGCTGCTTTCCAAGACTGGTTCAGGCCATTCGGAGCTGCCAGAGTGTCCTCAGAGAGACTATAAAGTGTCCTGACAGCTGGACTGCAAAGAGGGTGGTCTGCTGGGTACTAGAAAGGGAACTGTTCAGCTGACAGTTCCTACTCAAGCCTGCCAGGCTTAAGGAAAGGGCCTCACAACGGCTGCTCTTCAACTTTCATCACGCCACCACAGAAAGTACAGAAGGGGTCTTTATAATAAAAAGATTGGCAAAAGCTTGACACAGAACTCTCAATTCTAGCAGCAAAGCACTTGGTAGCATCTATCAGGGCCTCATTGTGTTTGTCTCTTACCCCAGTGCCCCAGGGAGAGGTGGGTTCTCTGATCTGCCTCAGTAGGAAATTAACACTCATTAGCACAGATCATTTCTGCTCAGCACCTTAATGGATCCAAGTATAATGGTCCTCAGGGAGAATACTAAATTATAGATCTCAGTCCCAGTGCAGGGTGTTGGTAACACTTTCAGGAATGGAAGTTTGCTCCCAGGTAACTCTGAACTAATTTATAAAGACTTTGCAAGTGATACATAGTATCAGAACAGAGGCAGCCTTGCCTTGCACTGTCTCTGCAAACTGAGCAGAGACATGTCCTTTTCTGCCCTTATCCTATAGGTCTACCTGGAAGAGGATTCCCAGGCTTTACAGGGACCAAAGGAGACAAAGGTACCGTTCTCAGCTTGCCCATCCTCCTCATACCTGTCAGCCTGCTGCTGTTATTCTAGGGCAACAGGGGCCAGTGACCACAGGACTTAAGGAAGGCAGTGATTACTTGTGGACTATAGGAACAGGGTCCAGAGGCTAATAGAAGTCCTGTGATTACGCCATCTAATCATGGGTTGAAATGGTATGTGGTACATGCCGAATACCATTGATAATGTTATTGATAAGTTTTAAATAACATGTACACGTTTTTCCCCTTGTAAGCTCTTACTTTCTTAATTTTTAAATCAGTTTTATTGTGGTAGCACTACCACACAAATATTGCATTCTGGGTAGTGTCCCATGCCACCCCCAAATCACTCTGCTACTTCTGATCCTCTGTCCTGCACCCCAACCCCCAGGCAAACACTCCCATCCCTGTTTAGGAGCTATGGTTTACCTTGCATCTCCTCAAGTTCAGTCAGGCAGTTTGCACTTTTTCCAGTTCTGACTTCTTTCTGTTGTTTGTATTTTTAGTTAACTCTTATTGGTTGCTGAATAGTGCTCTGTTGTGTGGATGGAGCAGTTTGCTTTCTGCATATCTGGATGAGTAAGGCCTTCGTTCTAGCAGTTCATTTGCTTATAGACTTCAAAACATATATTAGATGCCTTTGTCATTGGACACTTCTTTGAAAATGCATAAATAAGAGTAACTGTGTTTCTTCTCAGCCAGACCGTGGAAAGATGTTAGTGCACTTGTTCTCCTCCTGGTACCTCAGGGAAGCGCCCCTCTGAGGGCACCAGAGAGCAAGAAGCGTTCCCCGCCCCGTCCCTGCCTGTCAGTGCAGCATCTCCGCAGCCTGTGTCCTTCTACTCACTATCCTTTCACTTCCTTCCACTGTGCAGGTTCCAAGGGTGAAGTGGGTTTCCCTGGATTGGCTGGAAGTCCAGGAATTCCCGGAACCAAAGGCGAGCAAGGATTCATGGGTCCTCCGGGCCCTCAAGGACAGCCGGGTTTACCTGGCACTCCTGGCCACCCTGTGGCGGGGCCCAAAGGAGACCGTGGCCCTCAGGGTCAACCTGGCCTGCCAGGTAAGAGCATTCCACCCAGTGTCAGAGCCTGGGACTGTATGCATAATGTGTGCTTTATCAATTTAGCTTTTCATTTAGAGGTTTGCAGCAGTTGTCAACTAGAAGCTACATTTTGGCCTCCACTGGACTTAAAAGTCTTTCGGTGTCTTTTCTGTTAAGGAATTTAAATAATTAGAGAGATGCAAAAAGGCAAATTACCCAGAAATATGCAACACAGATGAGGCTGGGTGTTTGTTTTAATCAATGCAATGTTCGAGCATCTTCTACCCTGAATTGTCTACTGTAGTGATGTTATAGGACACTGGGCACTGTAGCTTTGGGGCGTTTTGGAAGCCAAGCCTGTAATGACAGGTACACGAACACCATAGTGGTGGTGTTAGCCCCTGAACTCATAGCCATAAGGGTTCATTCATTCATTCATTCATTCACTTATTCTTTTTTTTTTTTTTTTTTTTTTTTGAGACGTGGTCTCAATGTGTAGCCTTACTGGCCTGGAACCCTCTATGTAGACCAGGCCAACCTCACAGAGATCCACCTGTCTCCTAAGTGTTGGGGCTAAAGGTGTAAGCCATTATGTTTGGCAATTATTAATTTTTAAATTAATTATTTATTTTAGTGGTGCTGGGGGTTGGAACCTAGATCTTGTGCATGCTAGGCAACTGCTTTACTATTGAGCTACATCCACAGACCTTTTATTATTATTTAGAGACAGTCTCATTAAGTTGTCCACACGGGCCTTGAACTCACTTTGTAGCCCAGTGCAGGCCTTGCATTTGGGATCCTCCAGCTTTAAGCTCTGGAGTAGCTGGGAAGACAGACTGTGCTACTAGTACCAGTGGGCAGGTGTTTGACTGCTGAGGCTCTGGTATTTATATGAACTGTCTTCCTTCCATCTAGGACCATCCTTGATTTCTTAGAGGTTTGTGCTGCTACGCAAGGTGGTGTTATGGTTAAGGACAGTTGTTGGCCCAGTGACACAGTGACCCCTCTCACCTTAACTCTATGTGTTTTGTTCCATTCATTAGGACATCCGGGTCCCATGGGGCCTCCAGGGCTCCCTGGGCTAGATGGACTGAAAGGTGACAAGGGAAATCCAGGCTGGCCAGGTGCTCCTGGGGTTCCAGGGCCCAAGGGAGACCCAGGATTCCAAGGCATGCCGGTGAGTGGTGGGTGAAGGTGTAGGAATGCTTTTCAAAAGGAAGCTTTTTTGATGAAGAGTACTGTGTGTGTGTGTGTGTGTGTGTGTGTGTGTGTGTGTATCCTTACGTATGTGAGTGTGGATGTATACTTGTGGGATAGTTTCCAGCTCCTAAATCAATTCTTTCCCTTGACACTAGCACAGGAAGCTATTATCTGTATTTTACAATATATTTTATAGATAGCATTTGAACAGAAATGCAATACAAATTATATGCTATACAAATTAAATGCTATGCAAATTATAGTCCAGTGCCCAAATTTACAGTCTTTTTACAAATTCAGTGCAAAAAGCTTGGTAAAAATAGTTCTGTGCAGTTTATCAGCTATCTTCTGGGGTTGGTAGTAATGGGACCGGTAATGTTACAAGTGATACCAGGACCATCCTGCAGGGAACATAGCTCAGGATGTCCTAGGTAACTAATAATGAATGAGCGTGTGTGTGTGTGTCTGTGTGTCTTTGTGTGTCTGTGTCTGTGTGTCTGTGTATGTGTATGAGATTATTTAAATTTGGCCTCTTACATACTTGCAGAGACCACTGCTCTTAGGTAAAGTAGTGATTTCTGATTGGATTCTTAACTTAGTCACCATCATGGCTAAGGTGTGGTTTTTTAGTTCTTTGTGGAGGTCAAACAGATGAGTTAGTGGAGGTTCATCTTCTGCCTCTGTGTCTGTCTCTGTTTCTTCTCGCTTTCTGTCTCTGCCTATCTGTCTCTCTTCTTTCTCTAGAACACACTTTGGAAGAGAGTATGTCATGGAAGTTGTAGGCACCTGCTATGGGAATGGAGTAGCACACAGGATTCCGTTCCAAGTCAACACAGGTTGTCCCTGTAGTTCATCAGTAGTGGAGACTGGGATGGAGGCATTGGGGCACTCCTCCTCAAAGGCAGACACAGAACAAGCAAGCTTGCCATGCACTCAGAAGAAGTGGCACTGTGTTACTTGGGTTTTTTGTCTTTTGTTTGGGGGCGTAGTTCTGGGATCACACTCATGGCTCTAGGGAAACATTTTCCATCACCACGATGATTCTGCACTCAGCACAGTGTGACACACTGTGTGTTCAAATCAGCTGCACGGAGTAGCAGTAATGACTCTTACCCATCCCCTGTCCTCCACAGGGCATGCACATCCTCACAGTGCATGGGTGTGTTCATGAATCTATTTTAGGCTCTTTTTTGCTATGTTGCTATATTGCTATATTACAATTTCTCAGTGATATATAAACACAGGCAGTTTGTCAATTATTCATTGCAGTCCTGATTCTATTCTTCAGCAAACCAGAATCTACTTCCAATTCCTAGTGCCAGTCAGTACCTGTTAGTCTGTCTTTCTGTATACACATGTGTATGAATACCTATATTTATGTACGTGTATGCTCATCCATGTTATGTCAGTTATAGTACTTTTCAAATTAAGATAAAACAAAGAAACATATCTATATAGGAAATAAAACTCTTTCCATATGGCTATCCATGTCGAGAGAAGGGAACAACACTGAAAAGGAAGAAAATGGACTGATATAAATATAATT